TCAACATATCACCATAATCAAGATAATGAACATCACCCCAAACCCCCAAAGTTTCCTTGTGCTCCTTTGTAATCCCTCTTCCTGTCCCTCCTCTGCTCTGACATATAATTACTTTCCATTTTCTAAAATTTAATATAAATGGAATCTTTTTTTTTCATTATAATATAACTTGGAGCCTCCAGTACAATGTTGAATGGAAGTGACGAGAGCGGACATACTGCCTCGTTCCTCATCTTCGGAGGAAAGCATTTAGGTCTTTCACTCTTGAGTATGTTTTTTATTAGATGCCTTTTATTTGGTTGAGCAGTTTCCCTTTTATTCATAGTTTGCTGAGAGATTTTTATCATGAGTGAATGTTGGGTATTGTCCATTGCTTTTTCTGCATATATTGAAATGATCATATGATTTTTCATTTTTTAGTCTGTTAATATGGTGAATTATATTAATTGATTTTTTTAAATGTTAAACCAACCTTGCATTCTTGGGATAAACCCCATTTGATCTTGATTATATTATATATATATGGATTCTATTTTGCTAAATTTTTAAGAATTTTTACATCTAAATTCATGAGGAATGTTGGTTATAGTTTTCTCTGTTTGATAATGTGACTGTTTTTCTGGATCATGCTCCTTGATTAAACTCTTGGGTCTCAAACACGTAAGCTATTAAATCACTTATGTAACTTGGGAAAAATAATGTCAGGAACATGTCTGAAGAATGAAAGCTGTAAAATGTATTTGATGTGGTTCTTGGGACAGAAAAAAATGAGAAAGCTGGACAAGAAAGTTTACATTTTTTTGTGAAGTGAGGTTTTCTAAATGTTGTATTTTCATTATTCTTCCAGACAGATTAAATATTTCAGAGAGAGGGAATGGAAAGGGAAATTTCTTATTTAAAAAAATAGAGAAAGAAAAGGAAGCAAGATAAAGGTCTTTCTTGTTAGTGGGAATTCAAGGGGAGGAGAGTGATAGGGGTAAACAGAAGTGTGAAGACAGGCATACTTCATCAGGATTTTTTTTTTTGAATGGAGAAAGGGAAGGACATAAACTTCTACTGAGTACTACAAGCTATGCACTATGCTAACGCTTTTGCATATATCTCATATAATGGTATTGGGTGGGGAAGACTTTTTGGAGGACAGAAGAATCCACAGTATTGACCTCTAGCATATTCCACATTGCTCATACAGACAGAACTTTGAAGGTAAGATTATTTCATGTGCTTGACCTAGTCTTTAAATGGAAGAGCACATTTGAGACCATGACCAACCGGTGTGCAGAAGAAGGTTATCTGGACAGTGAAGAGACCCAACACCAGGTCACCTAAAGATGAGTTTATACTTCTCCCAAAGAAGAGAAAATTAATGGGTAGTGGCGGTGGTGTAGATAATACTTTTCAATGACCAAAGGGCTTTCTCTTTTTATTTGTAAAAGGAAATACACTTTTTGGTATATGGCTTCAGATGGCAGAGATAGGATCAAAGGTGGGAATTATAGAGAATGGGATTTCAGCTCAACCGTTGATCCAGGTTGTCTGGAGGTGGGATGCAAGTGCTTTGCAATGATCTGATGTCTCAGATGGGTGATGGTGGTGGACATGCCCCACTGCCCATCTGGGACACCAGGAATGAATTCAGTTCCTGGGTTATGTGGTAAATGGAGCTAAAATTCTGACAGCCAAGGTCTGTTTCCACCGAAGAACCTATGAATTAGCTATGCGTGCTTCCTTTCTCCACAAATAAAAAATGGTGTGTGTGTGTGTGTGTGTGTGTGTACGTATGTGTGTGTGTGTTTGAACACAATCGCCTTGGAGGTCCTCTCACAATCATTCTGTATAGTGACATATCACAGCAGTTGGTAGTGGACTTAAGGAGATGACAATCATTTGAATGTTAGTCCTGATGAATTAGTTCTGAGTCTCCCCTAGAATCAGAGAGCCTTTGAACCTGCCTGTCCTCCTGCACTTGCAAGAGTTTCTCTGGTTGCAGAGTTGCCCTGCTGCCATCTGGGGGCCCTCAAGGACCATGGGACAGCATCAAGTGATGGTTAAGAGCTGGGAACATGGAGTCACACATAACAGCATTTGGATTTTGGTTTGGTCACATCACTAGTCATATGACCTCGAGTAAATTGTCTAACCATTTTTTTTTTTTTGGTACCTTATTTTCCTTATCTGTAAAATGACAATAATAAAACCTACTTTAAGAGTTGTCGTGAGAATTAAATGAGATAACAAATATAAAGCTCTCAGGAGAGCTCCTGCCCATGGCAAACACTTAATAAGTTGCTACAGTTAGGCCTGACCTTGTGTGCAGCACTCTGGGCTGGGCATGGACTGCAATCACTTTTGGCGGCCAATGCCTCGATCATTTATTTGATTTATTCCTATGCAAGAATGTGAGCTCCAAGAGAGCAGGAGCATTGCTGCTTTATTCACTATTTTATTTCCAGGAATTTGCATGCTGCCAGCTTATTTTACATGCTCAAAAATGGAAATAGCTCTCTGTCTCATTCCTCACCAGGCCCACTGAGTCTCTCTCGGTGTTGACAGAGACAGGTCCCTACATGCGACTAATAAACAGAGGCCCCGGTATAGCCCAGGCTTCCTTTGGCACGTTTTAAAATGTCCACCAGACCAAAACCATGGCTAACATGGATTTATCAATGACATAGGTCTTAATTTGTCACCATCCTTCCCATTTTATAGGGGAGGGAGTTGAGTTAAGTGGTTTAATAACAGCTCAGGGCGAGGCAGCCACAGCCCATAAGTGATAATGTCAGGATTCAAAGCCAGGTTTGCGGACCATAAAGGCCCTGTTCTCTCTGCAAGGCCACGGTGGTACAAATCTCAGGCAGGCAAGCAAAAGAGTTATCTTTCTCTGAGAGGGAACTGTTCTTTACGACTGTACATATAGAGCTAAGGCTGATGCTGACAGTAAAGGTAGTTGAACTGTTTCAGAGTGACTGGCGGCCTGGGTCAGATGGGACGGCAGAGCCCTGGCCCCAGCTCCGTCCCTTCTCCCTTAACTAGAACCCTCCCTTCCCCCAGTCCCTTCACTGCCTGATGCCAGCGAACCTCAAATTGTGGCAGCAATCTATGTCAGAAGTTCATTGAAAATGCAGACTTCTGGGCTCCACTCTAGACCTGTCGACTCTGAATCTCTGATGTGAGGCCCAGGGGTCAGCTGCTGTGTGACTCTGAGTTTCTGAGGCTTGAGAATGGTCACCCTGGCTCACGTTCCTTGTCCTCCGAGCCTCCTGTGCCTCCGCCTGGTCTGTCTGTCCGAAGCCCAGGCAGCGTCTACTTCACGCTCTCTGCACCCACAGCCCTAGACAGGGGGGAGGGAGCCCAAGCCAGACCAGTGCTGTGGGAGAGCCTGGGGGCCTCAGGGCTTGAGGTAAGAAAACCCTGATGTGTGAAGAAGGCCTTGCTCATGACATCAGGGGAGAACTTTTTACTTTTTATTTTCTGGTCTCAAAATTCCTCTGGCTTGACTAAGCCAGCCCATTGAAAAGGGACACTGGCAGATGCCCGGATCCCAGCAGATCGCTGGGACATGAGACAAGGAGGGGAATTTCCTGTGCTCCTAAGAAGGGATGGGCAGGAAGGGCCTTAGCAAAGTGGTGGGCCTGAGCGCTCTGTGGAGAAGCCCCTTGGGGAGGGAGAGCTCCAGATGAGGTTGGGGGGCAGGGGTAGCACCTGAAGAGCCTAGAGGGCATCTAAAAAGATGTTTAGGTCGTTTGCTGAGCAGTGTGTGAATGACCTTTCCTGGGTTCTCCCAGGTCTGCAGTAAATTCTACTACACCCAGGAGTATTTGGTGCGATTTTTGTTGTGGAAACCTAAGAAAGGTCAGAGGTTCAAGCAGATCAGGATGAGTCCAGCTGCACTCACCAACTTGGGAACCTAGGGCCTGAGAGAGGCCCAGAACAGGAGCTCCTGGGGTTCACAGATTGTGAGGGCGAGGCTTCCATGGGCCCCAGAACTGGAGGAGTCAACCAGATGTTCCCTAACCTGGGGGGTAGCAGGGAGGCCTCTAGCCAACCAATCTCAACCCCGAAACCGAAAAGTGAGACGATAAAAGAGAAATATGGTTTGGCTCTATAAATGCGATGCTAAGTACAGCCATTCGCGCAAACTGCTTCCCATTAATGCTTAATGCTTACTCTGCGGTATAACAACACTTATACATTGCAAGAACTATGTGTCACATTAGCTGAGTTTTATCTGCCTCCATGTGAGCCAGTCCTTCTCAATTCTTTCTTGCTTTGGTAGCCTTGGTTGTCTACGGCTAACACACCGGCTCTATTTACAACTTGAAAAATAAAAAGTATGAGCAAAACACTTAGCCTTTCGGTAATTCTCTCCTCTAAGAGGTGGATTACCTCGTGTTGGCTCAGATGTCAGTATGTTGTCTAGTTTTGGGGCTTGGCCAAAAATGAGTTCTATTAACACTTTATATCTGTTGGCTCTTTTTTCTTTAGGAGACCTATAAGGTGTCTGTTACCAAAGCAACCAGATCCTCGCACAGCTCTAAAACAGAAGTTAAATAATCATTCCCAGCCAACGTAACCAACTCATCCTAAGTCCATGCTTCAGAGAAGAGACTAAAATACAGAAACAGCTCCTCAGGGCACAGTTGATGGAGACAGGGGGCAAAAGGCTCTCAGAGGTTCTACCCAAAGAACAGCTTGGAAGTAAAGGACACCAGCTCATGAATTCAAGGAGGCTATTTCTGAGAAGGTGACTCCAATCATTTTCCAAACTCTTCCTGATGGCTTTCTGTGTGCCAACGCTGGCTTAGGCACTGTGATGACATAGTGGGGGTGGGGGTGGGATCATCAATTATATACATCAATTATAGAACCTTGTTTCTATCCTTAGGGAGACGTTGACTTGGTTGGGTGAGGGGCCACAGATGAATTAAATGGGCCCAGATAAAGGAAGAGGGAACGCGAGAGAAGAGGACAGTTCAGATACATCAGCAAAGCAACCTTACTTCTGCAAGTCATCTGATCCGAGTCGAGGATGTATCCTTGTTTGCACCTGCAGATGTATGAGCCAGGGGTATTGATGCAGAAGTGAGCACAGTTATGCTCCAGGAGGCTGCACATGTGGACCACTGAAAGGGAAGATACAGTGAGTTAAGGCAATGATGATGGCTTCTCTAACTTCATCCACCCCACAAACTTATTCAGACCTACTCTGGTCAGACAAGACAGCTCTATATCTAGACAAAGGGCCACAAAAGGTTTAAGGGAAATAATGTTAGGCTGAGCCATATGAAATTACCAATATCTAACTAAAAATAGATTAAAAATGACCTAGAAAAAGATAAACTTTATGGTTCAATTAATAATACACAACTAGAGGGATCAGAAAGTTTGCTGATACCAGAGGGGGCTTTGGCTAACGTGTGAATTTTCAGTATGCAGCTATGGAATTGGAGGAAAAGCTATTAGCTTTTGAGGATGTGGTTAAGAATCAATAGTTTCTCAGGATCATAAGTCCCAAGAGCAGTGTAATATTTTTAATATGCAAAAGTGTTATGCAAACATTTTTAAAACATAAAAATTCATTCATGGCTTCCATGTTTCCATAAGGTTTATGTCTCATTTAAAAATATTTTTGCATTTAGTTTCTGAAGTATCTCAGCTTTCAGATACATCGATTCTTGCATAAGTCTGTCTGGAGCTCATAAAAATTCTTATTAGTTTTTAAATTTTAATTTTTGACTTTACTCAAAATAATCCAACTTAAACATATTTAAAATTTACAAACATCAGTATAAACAAGTTCAAATTATGCAAATGTTCTCAAAAACAAAAAAAGATGACCATATGTAGGAATATATTTATAGAAGCTAAAAATAAAAGAGGCTTTTGAAAGCTAAGAATAATCTCATCAATCCAGTGCTTAGGAAAACTCCACTACTGATGAAATCAATGGCATATGTTAAGAATATGTCTCTTTACTTCTAAGTAAGAAATATGGTGATCAATATGTGAACTAGGGAAGTAAAACTTTTTTATTTCATAATTATACAATTTAGAATGATTGTTCTGAGTTTATGGTTGTATTTTAGTTCCTAAGATACAAATAATACAAGAAAATTTCATAGATTAAATGCAATCAGTCATTTTCACTTTGACATAAAATAAATCTCTGTTTTTGTGACTTGGGCAACTTTTTTAACCTCTTTATAGAAAACAGAGATAAAAATATAGCACCTACCTTATAAGGGCCTCGAAAGGGTTTACATAATCAAAATGGTAATGTGCTTAGAACAGTGCCCAGTACCTGGGGAGTGAATGCTCATACGTGTTAACTGTTATGCAGCAAAGGACAAGCATGGTGGCCTTTCATTTTGTTCTGCATACATGGGTTCTTCCTGTGCATACTGACCTTCACCTTGGTTTTTCACTCAACATTAACAGATTCTATCTTTACTGACATGTATCATCTTTCACAGAATCTAAGATTCACCCCAATTTCAGAGATGTTAAAATGTGAAGACATGTACAGTTGATCCTCATTATTTGCAGATTCTGTATTTGCTAAAATTTATTCGTTACCGTAAAATCAATACTCACAGTGCTTTCATAATCATTCATGGACATGCTCAGAGCGATGAAAAATCTAAGTCACCTGATACACAAGCTGCCAGCTGAGGCTGAACAAGGTGATGCTCTGCCTTCTTGTTTCAGCTCTCAAACTGTAAACAAGAGTCCCTTTCCAGGTCTATTTAGTGCCACATTTTTTTTTTTTTTTTGCATTTTTATGCTTTTTGCTGGTGATTTTACTGTTTAAAATGGCCCCAAGCACAGTGCTGAAGTGCTGGTGTCTGCTGAAGTGAAGTGCCAGTGCAGTGTGTCTCGGGTCCCCAAGTCTAAGAGGGTGGTGATGTGCCTTTCAGCTCTGGCATGAGCAATAGCGCTGCCGGCTCTGAGTTCAATGTTAATGAAGCAACAACATGTACGACATACGATATAAGGTGTCTTTAACCCATTTCCCATTTGCCCCCCATACTCGCCTGCGACACTTGCAGCTGCAGCGTTTCCCCCAAGATTACTCACAGATTACAGTCCTCACCTTACCCCCAAAGTTTGCCATAAAATATCTTGTTTTGATTATTATTTTTGCATCGCTCTAGTATATCGATAGTCTTTGGAAACAAATGACATCATTCTATTTATAGCATTCTGTTTCGAGCAGTGGTCTTTCCATTTCCAATCACTGAAAATGTCAAATCCTAGAACACGTTGCATTCCTACGCGTGATGTTAAATTAGCGCTGGAAGCTAGCTGCACTTTTTTTCTAAATGGGAAAAAGGTTAAACAGAAACACACGTAAAACAGATTACGTATTGATCAGTTGATAAAAATGAGCCAGAGGCTGACAGGAAGCTGTTTTTCTCATAGTAGCAATGGTACAGTATTGGCTAATTCAGTGTTCACCATAACTTTATGGAACACAATTACTGAGAATTATGAAAATCAACTGTACATCTTAGATTTGATCAGATACATTAGATCTAGTTTATTCCCTCCAATTGCTTTATCTATTGGTTATATGATTATTCCTCATTTTATTTGGCCACTTTCCCATCAGTTAACATTTGAGCAATTCCCAAATTTTCACTATCACAAAAATGCTGTGATGAATATTCTCAAACATATCTCCTTGAACACATGTGTAATTGTTCCTCCAGGACTGGGTCCTAGTTAAAATAGATATGACCTAATTGCTTGCAAGGTGGCTCACACCAGTAGTGCATGAGAGTAATGAATCCCACTCCTTCAAAACTTCAGTGCTCGGGATTATCAAACGTTAAGTTTTTGACAGTCTTATGAGGAAAAACTCGTTATCCTGTTTTTAATTTGCATTTGCTTTGCACCCTGGGAAGCTCTCTTCTTTTACTGTCACGTTGGCATGTCACTATTTTTCTCCATAATAAAGTCTAAAGTCTAAGCAACCAGCCTCACAGCAGTTAGGAAGTGGTGCAGGGCCCAAGTGATGAGCCCGGTGCCCATCTTCCCACTGGGATCCTGGCAGATAAAATAAGAAGACAGGAGATGTGAGCAGAGAAAATATCTGTTGGGCAGCAGACAGCACAGCGGTGAGGAAGGCAGCTTCTGGAAATAGACTAAAGCTCACCTTCGCCACTTACTAGGTATGACGTGGTATGAATTAATTTCTCTAAACTCCACTTTCTTCACCTGTCAAATGGGTTCTTTAATTAAAGAACTCTTGCTTAGGGTTTTAGAGTGACAGCTTGTTGCTAAGAATTTTTTGGCCGTGTACCATTAAAGAAACTGGAACCAAGAGACTGTAACTTGGTGTAATGGGAAAAGAGCTGGATTAGAAGCCAGAAGGCTTGTGTTCCAGTTCCCTTCTGCCTCGAACAAGCAAGGGAAGTTCAGGTAGGTCGGGTAGCTCTTTATGGCTTATTTCTTTACCTGTAGAATAAAGGCATGAACTGTGTCTAGGGATCCTAAGTACAGATGTTTATTATTTCTTCCAGGTAGCACCCCCTTTTCCTAGAAACTGCCCTTCCTTCTCACCCTGAATGCATGGCAACCATGGTGAGAGGCAGCCCCACTCCTGGCTGATGTTGGGGGTACAGGTTTTGACAATCAGAGTCTTTTCTTGGCATTTGGAATGTAGAACTGAAAAAAAGGGGGCTTAAAACAAGGGCAAGTATATCTGGGGGGCTGATATGTTCTCTGCCCACGGACGGAAGCAGAGGGAGGAGGTGAAGAGAAAGCAGGACTGTCATTCATTACTCTTCTCCTTATTTCCATGAGTCATATAACAATCTCCCCTTCCTAAAGCTAGTTCAAATGGACTTTCTATTACTTTTAACAAAAGAATCCCCCAAATGTTTACTATAAAATAGAATAAAAATTTTTACTGTAAAACAATAAAAATTTTTCATCTATAAAATTCTTTGGATGAGTATTCGGTGAGTCTAAGAGCATCTGGACCCTATGCCTTGTTCTCCCACGGGGCAGGCTTTTGTGATGTGACTGATGGGGAGATGATAAATCTGCCTCCTCCATTGGCCTACAAGTGATCTCTTTTCTCAGAAGGCCTTCTGGGTTGGAATTGGGTCAAGGCTTTGCTTTCAGGAGAAGGAAGCACTAATCGGCAGGCTGCCTTTGGCAGGGCTGAATTTTTTAACTAGGAAATATGAAGGTTCATGAATGTTTATTAATGTATGTATGGGTGACTAAAGGAATGAGCTAAGGAGTGGTGGGGCTGACTGGGGGTCCTGAAAGGAACAATTACTGCATGTGTAAAGTCAATGTCTGTTGAGGTCAATCTGCCCTCCTACTTAACAACAGGGCCTTGAAGGGCTGCAATAAGGGTAGACTTTGCCCAAGTTGGTTAATGAAATGTATGTCTTAGGAACACTGTTAGGGACTTACACTGTGCCGGGCCTGGTAATAATGGTGGTGGGGGGTGGAGTGGGGTGGGGGATGCAGGGCTATTAGGGTTGGAACAGCCAGCCTCTCGGCTCCAGGTACCAGGCTAGGCTGGTAAAACAAGTACTAAGAGGTTAATTAAAAGCAGTCCTACCCAGGTTACAATGACTTCAGAAGGCTCAGGATAGACATGCATTTTTCAGACTCTAAATTCTCTGTCCTCTCTCACTGGGTGGCAAAAATGGTAGACTGTACGGTGTGTATGTTTTGATCATCTTGTAGACAGGGCCTCAATTCATAGGACACCTGGTCTCCAAGATTCTCTAGTGGTCGCAGGGGTGGCCTGAGAATGTAACCTCAGGAGTCCCACTCCCTGCCCCTGCTGTGGCTGGTGGGGGAATTCACTGCCCATGGGTATAAAGCCACCACTGTGTCCAAGTTCACGTCCACACAGCCAGTGAGAGCCAGAACCAGCACTCCCACTCAAGGGCAGTCTGGCTCCAGGCCTAATCCCCTCCTAACTGTATGACAGAGAATCCTGCCTCAATCACACTGGGAGGCTGCAGATCCATCTGCGCTTTTCAGCTCTGCCCGAAGCACACGGGCTTCAGCCCTTCCTCCCTCTTCAGTCCTGCTCCTGGGTGTACCATGGCCTCCACTTCCCTGCCCGGCCTTTCATCAGCAGTTTTCAAACTCTGGGTCATGTGTCCTTAGCAGGTCGCAAAAATTAACAGTGAAAAAAACATTTGAAAATATCATTCCTTTCCTGGCTGACTAAAGTCACCCTCCCTACACAAGCAGTAAACTCCTACTCATCTTTCAAGTCTGTGTAAATGCATAGTGGTTAGGATGTAGGTTCTGAGCCAGAATGCCTGGGTTCACATCTCAACTCTACCACTTAGTGCTATGCGACCTTGGACGAGTTATTGAACCTCTCTGGTTCTCGATTTTTCTTTTCTATAAAATGGGAATTATGAGAGCACCTACTTCACAGATTTGTTATATTAATGAATTAACATGTTAGTAGCTCAAAACAACACATGCACATATTAAAATCTATAAATGTTGGTGATTATTGTTATTAAATCCTCTTTAAAGCTCTCCTGGAGCCCCTGGGCAGACCTAGGCATTTTTTTTATCAGAGGTCTCACAGTGCTAGGTGACTTTCCAAGGCCTCCAAAGTGTACAATTGTGTAGCTAACAGCCCATTTCTCTGTGATGAGAGCACTTTCCTCCAGCCTGGAACCCTCAGCCTGGAACCCTCAGCCCGGCGTGTGGAGGGTGACAGCTCTGGAGCCAGAGAGACTGCAGTCTGAATCTCCAACTCTGCTACTTGAAGTTGCTCATTCTTTCTGAGCTTCGGTTTCCACTTCCGTGAAATGGGGATAATAACAGTACCTGCCTCACAGTCTGTTACAAGTATTAAATGAAATAATGCATGGAAAGTACCTTGCCCAGCACAAAATCAGCTGTTAGTCTCAGACTGTAGCTCAATAAATGTTTAAGATGCTCATTGCTGTTGCCTGATGATGCCCAGCCTGCTGGTCCTCCATGTATCTGACCATAACCACACACGATACGGGGCATAGTGGATAGGACTCTACAGTTTATAATGCCTGCTCACACATCTGTCTTTGCAGGTAAAAACTCCCATTTTACAGATTTTTCAGCATTGTACAGCTGGCAGGGGACTCGAGCCTGCTCCTCCTCGCCCTACAAAGGCTTCCTCTCAAATTCTAATGGGAATGTCAGCCTCGAAGCTGGTCTATCTAGCATGGCTGGATGGAATGGTTTACCTTAAAAGAGGAATTTATAACTCCCGGCCTGCTTAAAACGAGTAAAATGAGCAACAGCTTTGAAAGCAGAACCCACCATCTGCTGGCTATTTGTTCTTGGGGAATTCACTTAACATGTTTACTAACCTATAGAGAGGGAGGGATAGTATTGTGTTGCCTCCCCAGGCTTTCATGAGGATCGAATGCAAAAACAGGAGGGAAAGTGCTTTATAAATGTCAGTTACTGTGGTCTTAACTGCACAGTTGATAGAGGCCCTGGGGCCTCCCTAACCTTTGAAGACAGTTGACAAGTGTGTTCAGCAGAGCCCTGCAATGTGGCGAGAGAGGAGTTGGTCCCCTGCAGAGGGTGGGGGAGGACAGGGGTGGGATTCAGTCCTCAGGCCACACAAATGAAGGAACCAATGGCATAATACTGATGTTTTCTTAGAGCTTCCAGATTACAATGAAGCGGGGGGTGGGGTGGGGGGCGGGGAATTCAAACTGCCTTTTCATTTTGCTGCCTGGACATAAAGGATACAGAGAAGGTTCTTCTACAGACAAGTCCATTATCTTCAGCCTCATCATATTACCTTTCCATCTGCTGATAAATTCAGAGCACTTATAAAAGAACTCCTCCATTAATATTTTCCAAGACAAATGAATAAACCCATCAAAACTGTTATGGAACCAATGTCTTTTAAAATATTTCCAGGAAGAGGGGAACATAAATTCTGCAGAAGTCATTTAAAGTCATAAACCTTAAAAACGTTTGCAGGGCATTCTACTGGGTGAAGTTTTCCAGGTGACTTAGGCCACAGCACACCACAATAACGCAAGCCTGCTGTGCCAGGGAAAATGGCACTTCTGAACACTTTCCAAGTGGCGCTGCAGAGAAAAAGTTCTTTTTCCTTCATGGCAATGATTTTTTTTAAGTAAATATTTTGATTTTGTAGCCATGAAATAATGGGTCTCTGACTTCCGAGGTTATTCCTCAGCAGGAGGTTTTCAAAAAACGACACGTCAGGAACAGCCCTGTTCTTCCTCCCTGAGGCTGTGATAGGGGCCACGTGGGGATCTAGGTTTTGTCATATTCTAAGAATCGGTCCTCAGAGCCCCCAGAGGGACAAGTTCCTGCTACTGGGGAGTTGGAGGGAAGCCTGGTCTTTAAGCTCAACCGGGAGGGAAATACTAGTCATTTCAAAATAGATACTTTCTTCTGTTTTCCCATCAAAGCAGCATGGAAGTTGGAGGAGACAGGGACGAATGGGGGCGGAAGAGGCAGGATTACACCCTGTTTACCAAATCGAGAGGCACGTTTCCAGTTTCTGGGGACTAGAGTGGAGCCTGGGTTGGCACCCAGGACCCCGGCCCTCAGGAGGTGGAAGGGATGAGAAGGCAGCTGTGGAAGCAGGAAACTGGAGAGACAGCAAGTTGACCCATTGGAAAAAGCTGAGGCAGGAGCTCGGGTCGGAGGGAACTGGGAGGAGTCTGGCAAAGAAGGGAGAAGAAGCCTTGAGGAGCGTGGGCTTAGAAAGCAAGAGAGCGAGGAAGAACCTTAAAGTAGAAGAAAGCAGCTCAGGGCTTGGTGAGGCCTCCCTTGCAAAGAAATGAGCGGGGGGGCTGCCATCTTAACAGGTGTGGGCACAAGGACCACAACCTGGCCCTCCACATACACTGGGCCTCTTTGTCAGTGGAGAAAACACCCACGGCTAGCACCATGGGGCAAAAACGCTTGGTCTTCTACACCAGCCAAAAAGAAATTATGCTATTATTTTTGTCCTCCCCTTCCCATCCCTATGCCAACTCAAGAATTCCAACTTAGGGAATACCAGAGCCGTTCACTGTGCTGAGAAAAACTTCACTGCTTTCCTCTTACTCATTCTGCAGTTTGGATTTAAATGTCCCTTCCCCAGGAAGTCTCCCTGAGCACCCTGGACTAGGTTGGGTCCTGCCCTGAATTCTTCCTCCATTACACTGTTACAACTGCTGGTACTTACTTACTTGTATAATTACATGCTTAATATCTGTCTCCTTGGCCAGGCGTAAGCCCCAAGAGAATGTGTGTCTGTCTCAGTACCTGGGATGAGGCAGCACAGAATGAACACTGAAAGATGGCTACAATGTCTGTCTCGGCCTTTGCTGAACACCCCTTGCCAGCACAGTACCTGGGACGAGGCAGCACAGAATGAACACTGAAAGATGGCTACATGCATCCTAATGATGCCCCTGGAAGAGCCACGGGGGCAGGACTTACTGCACAGCTTGTTCTGGAACACCGAGATCAGCGACTCCATCTGGCTGAAGTTGGCCACCAGGAAGACATGGTCCTCATGTGGCTCACTCCCAATGGCCTTCAGTGTGTTGAGGTCTACCTGGCCCACGCCAATGGCAAAGATCAGGATGCCTGTGTCTCGTGCCTTTGCGGCCACCTCAGCCACCGAGTCCTGTGGCCTCCCATCCGTCACGATCATTATGACCCGCAGCACATTCTCCCTCAGGGGCCGGGCCCCTTCTGCTTCTGAGAAAGCGATGTTCAGGGCATACTGGATGGCCAGCCCCGTCATGGTGCCCGTGGACAGGTGCCTCATCCTCTTGACGGCACGCTCCACCTCAGACTTCCTCTTGAAGGTCTTGAGGGAGAACTCATTCTTGACAGTGCTGCCATATTGGAGCAGCCCCACTCGGGTGATGTCAGGGCCTATGTCCAAGAACTGCAAGATGTCCACGATGAACTCCTTGACTTTGGCATAGTCGTGGGTGTTGACGCTGCGAGAGCTGTCGATGATGAAGACCAGGTCTGCCCGCTTATTCTCACAGGAGCTCTCTGGGGAAAGAGGACAGGTCAAATGCATTAGAAGAGTGTTAAGGGCCCAGGGCAGGTTGGCTGTTGTTGGAAATCCTAGGGCTGGGGATCATCTTTCAAACCTCCAATCTTCATCGGGTTTTTTTTGCTTCTTAGGAAAGTTCTAAGGGTATGTAAGGGTAAGATAAATGAACACTTTAGTTATTAGACAGTTGTCAATACAGTTTTTAGGTGAGCAAACCTTTTTGACACCTGGTCAGGGTCAAAATGATTTTATTATTTACTGTATGCCACATAAGTTTGCCTGGACACTGCAGGAAATGTGGAAGAAACTTAGGTTAGGGACCGATGTCAAGGAGCTTATAATCTACGTAGGAAAACTCAAGTAGTGTAACGAATGAAAGAACAGCTAGTATGAAACTGTGGTGCGGACATGGATGTACCGATGACAGGGATATTAGTGGGTTGGTATCAAGGAGATAGGACATGAGCTAGCTTTATGGATGCACAGTGTTCGAATTGAGCGAAGGCACACAGGAGGGAGAGGGACACATGAACGAGAGCCCAAGGTGGCATGAAGATGGTGGGTAATAGAATAAGTGATGGGGGAACTGCTAGGTATTGCAGGCAGGAATTAAGTTGGAGGGGTAGCCTGGAGCCAGTTATAAAAGGCCTTTAAATTCAGACTGAGAAATTTGTGCATGATGCCACAGTGATGGGCATAATATGATTAGCATCATATTATTTAACTTATCTCTCCTGTAGGAAAGTTATGTAAAAAGAAAAAAAAAATCAATTGAGAGTGATAGTGAAGTACAAGGTGGGTGATCCAGACAATTGTTGCATTAATCTGGTTGACAGGGTGACTTAATATCAAGCAGGGCAGTGGTGGACATGGAGAAGGAACCCAGCCAAGAAACACTTCAATAAAAGGACACAGTTAGACTGGAAAAAGACAAATGTTAAGTTTCTCCCTTACCACCATAACTGCCATATGTATTCCTTAAGCACCCAAGCAAGAAGGCTAATAAGAGCTTTGGGTCCGTGGATGAAATTCACTGCATTCTGGGAAAAGGATGCTATTGAATGAGATGAGAGACCTCCTTCCTCAGAGAGTAGAAGCTGGGCATCCCACTGGAATTTCTCAGATGTTCTGAACTCCAGCCTCCAGCCAGAGGGAGTCTCTCCTCCCCTTCCCAGACTTGGCAGCTAAATCCTCAGTTGATAGGGATTAGAAAAGTGATCCCAAATGCTTGCCCTAAATCCTAATCACCACAGCTGCAAGAAAGAGAGAGAAAGCCAAAAATGAAACAGTGAACCCAGTCATTAAAATGAGAAGAAAGACCCATGAGGTCATCCTGTCCAGGCCAGCTTGCCAGGCCCTGACTCGCCTGAGCGCCTGCACACACACCTCGTCCACTGCAGCCTCACAAGTTTTACGATTTTAAGGGAGGACGCATCTCCCAATACCAGTATCCTGGCAGGAAACCAACCTCTGCCACACCCACATATAACACGGGGGGCTGTGAATTTAATACGTGGCATACAGTAAATAATAATGTTTTGAAATCTTTTTTTCCAGTGGGCCTTCATCACTACGATCTCATTTGATTTTCAGAGCAAACTCTCGAGATAAGAGCTAGGTGTAACATACCCATTGGATAGATGAGAAAATGGAGGTGCTGAAAATCTCATAATTTAGAAAAAGAAAAATTATATAGAGACAAGACTAATACCGGTCTCACTGGATAATAGTTAGAATTTAAGAAAATGACCCAGCTCAGCCCTGAGCCCCAGGGGCTGTGTAACTCTGAGGGGCACCTAGAGGGCGTAACTTTTTCTAATTTTCATGAAGGTGCCTCTGGTCTAGCACGTGGCCCTGGGTTGGGGCAGTGGATGACAGACCCACACGTCCCAGGAAAGAAGACAAGGGCCAAGAACAAGGATGCCCCTCTCCAAGAGCCGCACTTGCTGTCTGAACTCCCTGCAGGGAGAACGTGGCCCAATGATCTCCGCCTGCTGAGGAGAACTGCAACGGGATTCGGACCCTGCAGCGGAGGAGGATGTTCACGAAGGCTCCTGGGAAGCGAGGGGAGAGGGAGACAGCGGACTCCCCGGCCCCAGAACTCTTCCTCGGAGATCTTTGGAACCCCCCAGACCAGGGTTCTTGCTGTGGGTCTTAGTCACTGCATTAACAGCCACCAAGCATCACAATCAATTTACAGGGAAGCCTGGAAGTTTTGTGGAGAATTATGTACTAAACTGGATTAGTCCCTGTCAAAACAAATGGGCAGTTTTCACAATGCCTGGACATCTACAAAAATACCAAGAAGGTTTGAAATGTTGTTGGACGTTCCGGGCGAGCTGCGATTGTGAGTCAAAAACGGACCCTGGCAGCCCGAGTGACCGAGTCTTCTTCAAGATGTCTCCTCAGGTCCTTTGATAGTTCACAGTCACAGTCTCGCAGCTTGTCCTGAAAGGGCCAGTTCAGCGGTTCTCAAACTTGAGGTGCCTCCCAGTTCCCTGGAGGACTTGTTAAAACCTAAGATCAGTGGGCCACACCCCCAAAGTTTCTGACCCTGTAGGTCTAGGGTGGCACCTGAAATTTTGTATTTCTAGCAAATTCCCAGGTAAAGCTGATGCTGCTGGTCCAGAGATGACACTCAGAACCACCGCTTTAGGAGCTCGAGAGCTCTCTGGAGAAAAGAAGTTCTGGCAAGTCAGGGTCTTACTGTCTCACTGTGAATTCTCCAAAGTGGGAAGCGAGTCTCGTTCACCTGTGCAGCGATGCGGTTGAGGAACACAGTGAGTCTTCAGTCAACGTTTGTGGAACTAAATGCAGTTTGGGTGGAGCAGGCTTCGGATGGAAGGGACTGGGTCAGGGCAGTCAGTTCAAGGTGGGCGAAAACCACCAAGTCAAAAGTTCCAGAGCAGGTCTCGGCCCTGCTAATAGAGTCACAGATCCTAGCATCTAAATCTTTGTCATTTTATGGGGGAGCGTAACCACTTTTGAACTTCTGGTTCACGGACTCATATATTAATAAAAATCTTTAGAGCTAGAGGGGCCAATTAGAGTCCAAGTCATTCACTTTACAGAAGGGGAAACTGAGGCTCAGAGAAGAGACGCTACGTCCCCGAGGCCTCAGAGCTCATTAAGGTCAAGCTCGGTGCCTTTTCTACCATTTTATGGTGGGCACCTTGAAAAATTCCTACTACGGCTGGTATCACAATAGGAGCTTGGTAAATGCTTGGGGCACTCTGAAATACCTGCTGTGCAGAGCCTCACAGCTTCTCCACATGTGGACTGCTGAGAGAAGTTTCCAGAAAACAGACTCTTCTGTGTGTGTTCCTTTTACACACTGGTTCTGATAAACAGCCTCCCTGTCTCCTTAGCCTGGGAGAAGAACACACAGCGATTTTCCTTCTGGACCCTCATGACAGACTTTCGAAAGCACCTGAAAGAGGGTTTGTGGGCACGTTGTAAAATGTCATCCCTTGAACCATAATGCGATGGTCTGGACCTTGTCAACAGCCCTTCCAGCACTGTGAGCTTGACCCCAAAGCCCGCACGTTGGGCAGATGAGTGTCTCCTGTCCTCACAGAGAAGGTGGACCTGAGCCAGGATGATTTTAAGCAACATTCCCACCCCAGCAGGATTACAGGGTGCAGCCTGGGAACTACTTCCTCCTCTCGGGGTTGCAGATTTGTCACGCTAATCAGCCTCCCTCCCTCCAGCTAAATTCAATCATGGCCATGTAACTGTATGCGTAACTGTACTTGGTGCCATCTGCCTGGGACGGTCTGGGCATGTTTGGAGAAGGAAGTGATGTGAATCTCTATGAGAAGATTGGAAGGGACTCTGAGATGCTCAGCAAAACAGCAGTAGAGTCCTACGATCTTGGTGTAAGTCTTGCCTCTGCCACTTTCGGTCCACATGGTCTTGAGCCTCTCCTTAACCTCTTTGACCCTCAGTCTCTTCTTCTGTGAAATGGGATAATAACACTTCACAAGGCAGTTGTAAGACTCAAAAAGAGAATGTAATAATTTGTACCTGCTGCTTATTGAGCACTTAATAGGTGTCAGGCCTTATTTCCTGAGTAATTTCCATGTATTGGCTTATTTATTCTTCACACCTGCTTTCGGGAGTGGGTACTGCTACTGTTCCCCTGTTACAGTGAGTCTAGAAAGGTTAAATAACTAGCTCAGGATTTCAAACTTAGGCAGTAGAGGAGCCAGGATCTGAACCCACCGTGTCTGGCTCTGAAGCTCATGCTCTTTACCGCCAAGCAATGCTCAGAAAGAATTTCGTTCTTTCAGACCTCAGGATGCACCAGGACTGCATCAGCTCTCTGGGGTCAGTTCTTTCCGCCCCTGGAATCACAAGGCCCGAACTTGCCTGTCTCCTGCCAAGTGCTTCTCCTCTGCTAAATGCCTATTTGGACTTTTTTTTTTAATCTAATAAATGATGAAAACAGATGCTTGCCTCCTCGAATAGCAGCCGCCCAGTAAATCAGGCTGCTAGTCATTCCCATTCTCATTCCCTTGACAAGTTCTTATTGAGAGATCAGTAAGAGCGAGGCCTATGGGATACTGAGGATGGGACAGGTGTGACGGAGAGCTGAGGCCACGGATCTTTGGGGGACTGTGGGGAACAGGATGGTTATGGCCTAGACAATTGGCGAATGCCCAGCGTGGGGTGGGAGAGGGAAATGGATTTCAGAAAATGTGATATTTCATACCAATTCCCAGCAAACTTCTCATAAGCAGATGGCTTGTGGGCACTTAAAAAAAAAGAACTGTAGAAAATTTAATGATACAGTGAAAAAATGGAACAATCTCTAGGACAGTGTAAGAGTAAGCAGACCAGGGAACTAGGGCATGATTTCCAGGCAGCATCAATGGCTGACCCGAGGGTGGTGATTTTGAAACTGGAGTGAGACCAATAACATGGCTGTGTGTTTTGCTCCAGCTACACTTGGCTGCACAGGTATAGGGAGAAGCAGACAAAATTTGGTTTAACC